GGCCCCCTCCTCCCTGACACTTCTGTATCCTTCCTCAGCACCAAAAAGTTGTTGGAACTAGTTCAAGTCAATTATTCCTCTGTCTTGTGACTGCACTAAGTCATGGGTACTTGGTACAATAAAGTTTGAAGAAAAATCTGCTGTGAGAGTTTGCAAATAGCTTTTTTCAGTCTTAAAAAAGGACACAGGACAGATGCTGCCTTTTCTTCCTTCAAATATGTAAAAGCATTATGCTGCAGCCACCTTGCTACAGAAAGACTAAGAATTCAATGAGGCAAGGCATTTATTATAGAAACTTCACACAGCTTTAAGAAACATCTAAGAATTGAAGGTATGGGGTGGGAAGCTTCAGGATCAGAGAACAGGGCCCTGGTATTGGTGACCAAAACAACTTTCAAGGGGATCAAAGAAAGCAAACCTGTTATGCCCAAAGTGGGACTGCACTGGGGAAACTGGAAGGAATGGGCAGCAGTTGCCTCAGTGTTCCTGGCTGTGGGAGTCTGCTTCCAAGAAGCTGGAGGGAGATTGGGTTCAGCAGGACCGAAAGTTAAACAGGCGCTGGACACTGAGTGGAAGAGAGTGAAGACATGCTAGAACTTGCTAGGCACCTCTGCCTCCATTTGCCAGTGTGTCCATCTGCAAAAAAAAAAAAAAAAAATGATGCTTCACCTCAGCTTTCCCATGTGTCATGCCATACTTGTCTCTGAGAAACACAGTGTTCACAAAAGAACAACCCAGGAAAGGTAACTTGAGCTCCACTTTTGCCTACGCCCAAATAATTTCTAAAATCAGTAAAGATAAAAAAAAATCAGTAAAGGTGACATCTACTGATATAGATCTTGATAATACTTTTTTTCTTTGTGATAAGTAAATACTTTTAGATCATCTCAGGTGAATATATAAATCATACATGCATGCATCACATTGTCTATACTGAAGAATTTTAAAGTTAATTGCCGCAATGCATTATATGCCAATCTCTGTATGCCAATCAGATCATGGCTGAAAGACAAAATTTTTATGGTAGTTATCCTAGGGAGGTCGATTACATGTATTTTTCTTTTTGATGTTTTGTTCAGTTGTTTTATGTTGAATGTTATTTTGTAGCCTGAAGTTTCATAAATTAAAAGCGCATTGATGAATACATTTTACCATTATTTGAAGGAAATGCTAAATGAAAGATTTACAGAGTCAACTGTTCAATTTATGACCTGGATATCTCATATCCTGGGCATCACCAGCTGAGTTTGGAGCTTTGGATTCCACAAATGAAACAATAACCCTTTCCAATGCACTTTTCTACCTACACTTTTCATGGTGTTACAAAGAAAAAGGTTAATTTACTTTCATTTATTTGCAACTGTTCCCAATATTCTTCTTTATATTGGTGAAAAAAAATCATCCTTTTTTAGTGAGAATTCTGGCCCCAGGCTTTGGCATTGAATGGTGGCACAGACAAGACAGGGTGGGGCTGGCAGCCAGCCCCACCGAGACCTGCATCCTCCACAGACCAAAGTGGCTGACCTCATGGCATGGTATTGAATTTGGCTAGTGGCAAGGAAGGGTAAAAATCTAACAAATGTGTCTTGGTTTCATCTTGGGGTTGCAGGGCAGGAATATGGGTTTCTGTGCCCTTTGGGGAACAAAAGAGCTGGGCTGGCATTTAATTCCATCACAGGAATCATCCTCTGTGACCATCCAGGGGCCTGTGCCCGCCAGTCCCATTTCCTTTACTATATTTAGTCCATGATGAATATGGAATAGCACTGAAAATGATTCACATCGACATCTCTCTGTCTAGCCTAATAACGTCAAAGTCATTAACGACAAACCTAAGTTTGCCTTGACAGTGTGATTTGAAAATCTCAGCCCTCCATGGTGTCCTCCCCTGCGTGTTCTGATAGACGGACCAGACAGGAACCCGGCACGTGTACTCTTCCACTTGGTCCCAAATCATCTTCCCTTCTCAGGAAAACTCAGACCCAAAGCCCAAGCATAGATGAGGTTACTATTCACTATATGGACTGTGGAGAGAAATCCCAGATAGTGCGAGTCAGGTGTTTCTCACAGATAGCGATAGATGAGGGTATAAAAGAAAGGAGGTTCAGAGACTTCTTTTCCTCCATCTCTCTTCTGCTCATCTCCAAGACGCAGCCATTTGTACTGATGCTCTGCGATTCCAGCTGTCACTCTCTTAATATCATCATTATTATTCCTACTTGGGCTTTTCCTCACACAGGAGTTTTCTGCACCTCTTTTCACATAGTTCTCCAGAACAAGGTGAGTTGTTTGGTCTTTGACGTTGTTCCTATCAAGTACAGTTTAAAAAAATATTTGAATGAACATCTGATTTCCTCGCTGTCTGGGAAGCTCCATGAGACAGCAGGGACATTTCATCTGCCCACCATTTATTTTATAGTCCTTAAAGCAGTGATGTGCATGTCCTGATGTTAAGGAAATAGCACTTAAATCAAAGAAGAGAGAATGAGAGAGCAAGAGAGCGAGAGCGTGAGAGAGACAGACAGACAGACAGACAGACAGAGACAGAGACAGAGACAGAGAAACAGAGAGAAACAGACAGAGAGATAGAGTCAGAGATAGAGACAGAGAGAACAAGCCAAGTCACATACTAACTCCATTTCATTCTGTGCCAGGGGACATAAGGACACAGAGATTGTTCACAGCTGAATGCCGTATGATTTAGATGTCTCAGTGAAAAACTGGAAACTCTACTGTATTTTCTCTGTTTTTGTTGTTTCTACCACCCACCCTCTCACTGGAGATATTCGTTCTTGCAAAATGAACTCCACCGGTACACAGAGATCTCTGTTTTGCCTTTCTCTAGTCCCTGATAGACCAGATCATAGTAAGTAGATAAATTCTGGATAATTGCATATTCTGGGTAGAGTAGAGTACAGGGACAGATTGACCCTTTCTTCTTTTTTTTTTTTTTGGCTGCAGATTGGTCATGGTGGACATTTACCTAGCCTGTCTACAGCTATCTTCACAAGGAAACTAGCCATATTCCAGTACCCTAAGTCTACAGTCAGTGTTGCTTGGCCTGTGATGAAGATGCCAGGGCCCGTGGGGCCACACTGTCCCCTTGCGCCTTTGTTCCTCTCCGAGTTTCTCTTCCTCATCACATCTAGCATTTATGCTCCAGAGGAAGAGTCAGCTCCTACTTGAGTTGGTTCCTCCCCTTTTTCTCAATCAGTTATCTTCCTAAGGAGACATATAGATTAAGGGGATGTAGGATCAAGTAGTTCCAGTGTCACTAGCACTTTTGAGAACACAGGCACAGGAGGAGGTGGGGAAAGCCTCAGGTAATTTCCTTATTTTCTCCAGGTGAGATCATTACACAACAGCTAAATGTTGATGGGAAAGGGCGCTTATTGGGACCTACCTTCTACGTTATAATAACAGAGTGAAGAATTAGTTACTTTTCTATACATAATTGACTGATAGGTATCTTGCTTAAAGTTAAATTGTCAAATTGGAATATGAAGCAAATACATAGTAAATTCTTAGACAAATATGTGGGGTTCCCTAAAAAGGCTTCTCTTAGGAAATGATATCAGAAGTTCAAAGACCTGCTGCAGATGTCGTGAACAACCTTCCTGAATAAGCACGGTGTACAAAGCCATATAGAGCAGCTTCTATGATGAGTTACAAAAATAAGACGGAAAGTCAACTCCACAAAGTCTAACTGATTTTATCAAGAATGCTTGTAAGTGTTTTTTGTTTCCTATGCCTTGTTGTGTACCCCAAATTCAATGTAGTTTTAAAAATCAGTGTTCTCAGGGAGATAGCTCAGTAGGATAAGCACTTGTCTGGCATGCTCAAGGCCCTGAGTTCAAACCCTGGTACTGAAAAAAAAAAAAAAAGTCAAGCACTTTGAATTGGGACAATAGAAAAAATGCCTTAAAGGCACAAGAAGAATTAGTAAGGCCCTCACATTGGCAGGTCCTAAATTGCTGAAGGGAAAAATTTTGCTTTGGGCTTTTGTAGATAAATAGATGCAACTAGAGACAATGGTGCTAAGTGAAATAAATCAGATCCATGTGTGCAAACATTGTATTGCCTCAATAGTATGAGAACCTGAGAGAGTAAATGGAATATAAAGGGCACAATAGATACTGTGAAAGGGAAAGGATTTGTTCAGTGAAAAGGAAAAATTGAGAAGTGGACAAGGACAAAAAAAAGAAGAGAAAAAATATACTTAGGTATGTATGCTAGACAATTTGGATAATTGTACTGACAATTTCTGCTGGTCTTTTGAAGGGAGTAGTCAATGCTTGAAATCATTTTCTTTTTATTCTTTTGTTTTCTTTTCAATTTCTTATAATTTTTTGGTGTTTTTTAACCAATTTTACAAGTTTATATCTGGTCACTCAAACAACTAATTTGAAGACAACATCAAGCAGTACTGCAGTCATTGTTGAATTCCTATTACTTTAGTGAAATTTTGTATTGTTTCTAATGCTTTTTTAAAAATATTTTGTATTCTTAAAAAAAGAAATAAAAAAACGAGCGCCCCAGGGCAATGTGCTATACAATGCTGGCTTCCTTGTGAATTATTCTCTAGAATTCCCTTCTTAGACTTCAGCTATCCAGGAACTTAGAGACCTGAGGAGTCAAGGGATTCAGCTACTGTTTGAGGTGGTGGCACATCTACATGATGCTGGTTTTATAGGTGTACAGAATGCAAGAGTTATGGGGTCAGGGAAACTTTGGCCCAGATTTCAGAATAAAGTCTGGGAGGTCAGGCATGTAGCCCCAGAGAGGTCAGTTTCTGAAGCTGGGAGAGTGAAGTCAAAAGTACAGTGGAGTTGTCAGAAATTTGAAGATGCCAGGTATGTCTGAGGAAAGCCACAGGCTGAGCAAAGCCAGCCCAATAGAGAGGCCATAATAGCTATGGCTATGCCACAGGGATGAGGCCACCTTAAGACCTTGAAGTTCACATCTCACTGCAACTTGCCTCAAGTTTTGGAAAATGGAACTCCGGGATTTAGTTCTTTTTTTTTTTTTTTTTTTTTTTTTTTTGAAAGAGAATATGCCTTTATTCCTTGTTTTGCCAATTAGGCAGGCTGAATAGTTTGCTTTTTGATGATCAATCAAAGAGACCAAATCCCATATCCTCATCT